AATTTTAATTGAATACAAATTGACAAACTCACATGGATGTGATGAGATAAGAGTTCTAAAAAAATCAATAAACTTTTTTATAGTTCCTTTGTACAACAAATTCCGTCATTGTTGGAATTAGTCGACAAAGACGATTGGAATGAGCTTGAGTGTCACTTCAGTAGGAAAAAACGACCTACATAAGAGATGCAAACACATCGATATGCTCAAGTCTGTTTAAATTCGACCTTAATATAGAGACCAAACTAGAATGCGATACATGGAGTGAAAGACTCTATTTATAACTGGAGGATCCGACAAGCTATCCGATCAGTAGTTACTCATGTCATACCAAAGGTCGGCTGCTTGGGAAGTGGGAAGATATTAAGCCTAAAAGAGGTTTTTCAATGTGGTTTTGTAGCTACGTAGGAAGATCGATCCGTCTTCCCAAAGTTGGTTTTCGGGTGAGACTTGATCTTTCCGACTTTTCTCTATTCTTCATGTGACAATGCTATTTTTCACCCACAATAGAGTTAAAATACTATTTTGATCCTAGCTTATTTTATTTTGGTCTCTCTACTTTTAAAATGTATTATTTTGATATTGGTACTTTTAACTTAGGTTCATTTTAGTTTTTATACTTTCAAAATGTCCTTTTTGACCCATGTACTTTTAAAAAGTGACAGTTTTAATCTCTGTTTGCAAATTCTTAACACAAATTCTGTAGAACAGCATAAACTTTTTAATATAAAATTATGATTACATTTCAAAAAATATATTAAATGTAGTGCAGCGTTGAAATTGTAATTGAGAAAATGAGATAAAAATAAAATGAAGAAATCAAAATGATTACTTTTAAAAAATATAGAGAACAAAATAAACGTTTTAAAAGCACGTAACCAAATTAATAGTCATTTTGAAAATACATAGACAAAATGAACATTTTAAAAATAAATAGATAAAACGAACAAAAATTAAAAGTATGGAGAGTAAAATAATATTTTTAACTAGTTTCTAGATAAATAAAAAAATAATTTCGGTTGGATAAAAATGAGTCTTTAAGAACCCTATCAACGAAAGTTCAAAACTTACTTAGTTTTAATTTCTTTACACATTTAAAAAAGGAAAACATGCCCTATCAAAAAACTTAAACGACATAGTCAATCTGAACATAATTTAATTGATTATTTAATTGATTAAATCATATATATGATGGATTAAAATCTTAAAATTTTTACTTTTCATTCCAGTGGAACTACAAATAAACTTTAACCAAACTAGTAAAAAAGAATATGATATTTTAACAAAATAGAAACTATAATAATTAAAATTAAAATAATATTAAAAGATTAAAAAAAACACAATGGAATTTAACAGAATAATAACTATAACACCTATGGCCAGAAATAGAATATGTTTTTCGAAAAAACAAAATATTTTATTTGTTGCCCATACTTGTGGATGAATGATGGTGACGTGGCTTTCAACTAATTTCATTTGCTGCCACGTAATCGATTCCGTGGAGGTTCTGATCTGTCGCATTCCCCAGCCAGCTGAATAGTTGAACTTAAATGATACGATTTTTTAGTTAATTACAAAACTACCCCTGAAATGAGAACGGGGATCAAAGAAAATGCCACCGTGTCCTCTGTGTCCTGTCCGCGTCATTTCTCCAAATCGAATCAATTATGCCTCATTTTATAGCTATTTCCTTTTTCATTTTCTATTTTAGAAAATCAAGCATATAATATTACTTCTATTTATTACCATGATATTAAATAGTTGTCGACACGTTGATATTTTAATTGACACGTCGACATTTCCATCGACATATTCATATATTTATGAGTTCGACATCGACACAAAAAGTAAATTGATATTTCCATCATAGTACAAAAAAATAGATCAAATATAAAAAATATCAAAACAAAATGTCACTAATATATATATAATATTAATATTATTCATTTTTTAATTATTTAGAAATAGAAAAATGTGTATTGGTTAATATAAATATTTTTTACGATTTTTTAATTTCTAACATTTACAGAAATATCCATTGAATTTTTCAAAAATTAAGTTAAAAATTTTTGTGGTCTATTTTTCAAAAATTAAGTTAAAATTTTGAAATTAAATAAAAAAATGAAATAGTTATCGAACTGAAGTGTTAAATACCTCTCTTTTTTTTTTTAGTAAAACAAATGTAGAATAGGAAGATTTAACCTTCAACCTCAACAGAAAGAGTGAATAATTCAACCTCAACCTCCAACCTTAATAATATAATAAGCAAATCACGTAAACCATTCTCGAGTTTAGTAAGATTTTTTTTTTAGTACAACATGTGAGACAAGAAATCAAACTCACAATCTCTTGATTGGAGATATATGTGAATTACCGTTGAACTATGTTCGTTTTGACTGGTAGAAACTTTTAAAAACCAAATAGATAAAACTTCTTAATTGCCAGGTATGTAATATTTACATAATTTTCTAATTTAATTAAAAAATTTTTAAAAAAAGACAACATTATATGTCATGGAAGAATCTTGAGATGCGCCAAGACATGCTGGACCCATTTTATAATCTCGTGGCCTAACTTCTTTTTCTTTTTTTTTTCTTTAAATAAATTGTTGACCTTATAATATAACCTATAATTGTCGCTTTGATGGAAAGTCAATTTATAATGTTTTAATCAAAAATTAATTATTAAATTAAAATACTTCTAAAATAAATTACGAAGATATTTTTACATGTTTTATGGGCACCCCACTCTCTTCTAAAACTTATACTAAATTTTGGCTATTACTTTATAGCCACATCTATCACTCATTTAAATAAATTTTCTTAAAACTTTTTTTTTTGAGCTAAACATATTTCAATTACTTAAGAGGTTATTTATCCTTCTAAATAGGTTAGGTTCAAATTTCGTTCCATCTTTTTCTTGAACACTGAAGAAAAAATATATAATTTTTGAAGGATGTAATTGTTCCCTATCCTCTTAATATCTTTCATTTTGGTGTCAACCTATGCATAACTTAATTGGTTAAGACTAAAGTATTAAATTATTTTCGACACGTCGATATATTCATATATGTATATGTATTAAACATCTTACATAAGGAGTGAATCAATATTTTCATTGTATCGTAAAAAATCAATGAATTATTATAAAATTCAACAAAATATCATTAAGAAACATATAATATTATCTAAAATTTTAATTATTTTTAAAAAATTAAAATATTTATGCGTTAATTTAAATAATTTTTCTAATTTTTCTAAAAACATCTATAGATATTGAAATTTTGTCTATAAATTCATCGACATTTTTATAAAATTGAAATCTATCGACTATTGACATTTAAATTCTTTGTTCAGACATCAATAATCTCTCTAAATGTTAGAGTTCAGAATCCCAACCCCAATTCTGTGTAATAAAAAGAAACAAAAAATTATTTTAGTTATTTTCAGGTTGTGACAACTTCCTATTTATGCACAAATTTTTTTAAAAAATATTATTATTAAAAAAAATTATTTGCTCAAATTTTGTCAATTTTCATTGAAATTTTTATAAAATTGAAACATCGACATTTCTATTGGTCAGTGATATTTAAATTCTTTGTTAAGACATTAATAATCTCAAATCCCCACCAAACTCTTTCCGATAAAAAGAAACCAGAAGACATTTTAGTTATTTTCAGGCTGTTACACCTTCCTATTTAACAACAAATTTTAAAAATTTTGAAATAATTTTGAGGTTCATATTTTTCAAAAAAAAAAAAAAAGTTATCAACTCAAAATTTTGTCTACATTTTTATAAAATTGAAACTTTGACATTTCTATCGACAATTGACATTTAAATTCTTTGTTAAGACATCATAATCTCTCTAAATGTTAGAGTTCCGAGTCCCGCACAACTATTTGTAATAAAAAGAAACAAAAACATTTTAGTCTATTTAAGCACAAATTTTAAAAATTTTGATATAATTTTCAGACTCATATTTTTCAAAAGGAAAAAAAAAAAAAAAGAAAGAAAGCTCTCTCTCGGGTGGAGAATCTTTTGCCATTACAACATGAACAATTGACAAAACCAAAAAGAATGGTAAGAAAGGGACATTAAGATGAAGCTACTTATTACACCATCTGGGGTGTGGGAGATCGAACTCACAACCTTATGTTTGGAGGTATATGCTAATTACCGTTGAGTTATGCTCACTTTGGTATAAAATATTAAAGATTATACAATAATACAATGGTTTATTTATACAATTTTATAATTTGTGCTTAATTTCAATTTGCCAACTTCAACGTATTTCAGCTAATAGGTTAGGAAACCATTGATTAGAGGTTTTAAATTCACACCTGCACTCCACTCCTAATTAAAAATTAAAACTTTTAATTAAAAAATTGTTTGTGCACAAAATGTCCTTCATAAACGATCAGGCGAATCTTCTATGAAGTGTAGAGAGACCTGCAAGATAAGTGGTGAACACTCTAATATTCAAGTCAGTATAGATTAGAATAAAGAAAAGAATTTTCCTTATATCCCAGGACTCTCAGGAATCACACTCATAATTAATGATATTAAATCTCTCTTTCTAAGATTGTATCCGTTATGATCTGAAACAGACAAATTACATGCCTAAATTCTCCTATCCGATCTGATAACATCTTCAGACGTTAATTGAAAAACTCTCTATCCTCCTACTCTAACAATGCCAACACGTGGCGATCGACTTTTAGCCCATACAAGAACGCATAGGTCCTATGTAATTTTCTCTAAATAATTCAACTAATGAGAATAATTTAATATAATTAAAAATTGTAATAAAGTAGCATAAAAAAAGAAAAAAAGAGAGAAATATTATGCCCCCATTTGAATTGTCCAAAACGGGCTAAAGAATCAGAATCATTGGCCATTATGGGAAATACCGTTGAAGTTTGAGGGCAATTTTGGAAAGTGCGTATATTGAGGATCGTCGTCTCTTTGTTTGGCAGGCTCTATTTAAAGCCACTCCAAAAAATTTCTCACACTTTTCACAGCCACAAGCACAAGAACGGAGCTCCAAATTCAAATGAGGTTCGACAATGGCGCTAATTGCCATTAGAACCAAAATCTCTAGGATTCTGAGCGCTCTCCCGGCCAATACCTCGCTTTCCAGACCTCCGTTTTGCTCCAATGGTGGCGCCAATGGATTTGCATCCTCTGCTGTGGCTTCCTTGGAGTCCAGGTCCATGGGGCTCGAGATTTTGGGCGTGAAGGATTACGAGGACTATCGGAGGTCTCTCTATGGTGAAATCACTCACAAGG